CTAAATTACGTGAATAAGCAGAACAATTAGAAACTGTTACTTCATCTAAAGTATAAGAAATACATAATAGAATACAATACATATATACATGTTTTGATAATCACGAAGGATTCGATTGATTTAAATATAGTTAATTATAGAATGTCTTCAAAATTATTAATCTTAAAACTATGATATATGATTCCGATACAATTTGCGATTTTTAATAATATTGTAACAATACAATGTTGTAACGATAATAACATTATTACATTTTCGAAAAAATTAAAACCGTTAAAGATATTAAATACGATACGGTGTTTTGCGTAATCGAATAATTCACTGAGATATTTTAAGATGAGCGAATATAAACAGAAAAGATAATCAATTATATATTGAATACTTCAAAAAATTTTTCTTTTCTATATCGTATATTCGAATATAATATAATATTAATTGAGGATGAGTATAAAACTGTTCTCATAAGATTCTTAATTCCAATAAATCTCTCATTCAATCTCTTTCATTCTATTTCTCTCTTTGATGCTACGAGAAGTTGCATTTTTGTTGACAGATGGGGATAAACATTCAAAAGACTTTGAACATTCTATGATGTTTTATCGAATATTCGAAAAATTATATATTAAAAAATAATGTCTTATGAATCTTGTAGACTTTATTGAAAAAATAAATTTTTCTTTTGTTTACGAGATATATACAATGAAAAAGGAGAAAGAGCGCGTGCGCTCTGACAGGAAAAACCTAGATTTTTGCCAAGTACTGTTCATAGAGAACAGATATATTAAATTTATTAAGAATTTTTTTACCTGTTGTGCCGAACTGGTCGAGCTGGTGAGCACCAGAATTTACTCCCGCACCCCCCAGACCGTCCAGATCTTGCCACATTTCCGAAAAACACGCACTTTCCGGATACACGCACGCACAAAATCATCCACCTTCACTTAAGCGGCGCCATTTTCACTATATACTGACTATTCTGGGCTCAAGCGATATAAACGCCCTCTTCCATATCGCAAATCAAGTGTGAACTAAGATTATAATACTATGATGGTATTATTTTTTATCGACATTTTAATAATTGAAGTATTTAATAGAAATACTTTAAAAATAATTTAATACAATTACATATATATATAATTATATTATATATATATAAATTATATTAAATTGTTTTATTTTATTATATGTATTTATAGTAATATTAATTTACAGATAAAAATGACATATAACATTATCCTACAAAAGATAAAATTTTAATTTATGTATAGAAATGTTGGAAAAATACAAAATATTTATAATTCTAAAATCGGTTGAAATTTAATTTATGAAAATTATTTATTTTTTTATTTATTATTTATTATTTATTAATCAATATTAATGCAAAAATACCAAACTTAACTTTATTATTATTATAATAATGTTTATATTAATAATTTTGATTATTTATAAGTTTTAACTTTTGAAAATCATAATTTAAAAATTATTTTTAATAATAAATGCGTATTATTAACGTACACATATTTAATAAAACGAATCAAGTTATACAAATGATATATGTTTTCTAAAGTAAAAACAAAAAATAGATAACTGGTTGATGAGACTGTTGGTAATGCAGATTTCTTGCTTTCTGTATACATTTCAAATAATACATTAATTAAATTTTTATTTAATATTAATATTAAAATTAAATTTAATTTACATTCAATTTATAATATTTGAAGTTTGTTTCAGTTTCATTAACCTTACTTTACCTTTATCTTACATTCAAAGAATAAGTTAATTAATATTAGATTATATTTTAGACATTCATAATTTTAAATAAATTATTTTAAAAATTTTTTAAAATATAATTTTAAAAATTAAAACTGATATTTTTAAATTCATCAAAATCAATTAATTAATAAAAAAATAAATAAAAAATAAATGATCATATAAATTAAATTTTAATTTTAAGACTTTTTTAATTTAATAATTAAAAATAAAATTATTTTGTATCTTTCTTTAAAATAATTTTTATCATTATAATTTTATTCATATATCATAAGTAAGAACATGAATTTAAAGTTCTTTTATTAACTTTGTTCTTGTATTTATGTAAATATGAATACAGATAATTGCATGTTATTGCATATGTACATATATATAATTAACATATATAAACATATATTAATATGTGCTAACGATATTGTATAAATTATACAAATATAAAAAAAAACTAATGAGAAGATAAATATTTATTGTTAATTCTTTTTGTTATCTAATGAGTATTAAATGATTATTAATGTTAACACTTGTAATTCATCATATAATGCGGTATAAATCTTTATATAATTATTTTGCAAAATATCCTTATAATTAGATGACATATCATGTTATGACCTCTAAAAATGTATATAATAGTCTTTCATATACATTACGTAGTAAAATGCAATTATATTATTAATCGTTTCAACATAGAGCGTGACTGATATTTACATGAAAAATTATATGACTGAGTCAAGCAAAAAATTTCAAAGATAACAATTGCACGAGTTGTATTATAATACGAAAATGTTTTAAATTATATGTTACAATTCAAGGTAACATTCTCAATGTTCTTATTTACTTTTCAACACATAGAAAGAACATAAATTTAGATGCACACATATTTCCGCACAAGATAATATTGTTGTTACATGGAAATGTTTGTTACGAACATATGTATATATGTATATAGGAATATTTTTTGCACATTTTTTCGCGTATAATTTTAGATTTTATTCATTAGTAAATGTATTGAGAATTAAATAAACAAATGCATGGATTTTGTAATCACAAAATTTATCATTTATTATTTTTATTAAAATATATATCATTAATTATTGGAAATATATTTTAATTTTTTATTTAATATTACTTCAAATTGTTAAATTAAATATTATATATTTATACATTACATTTAAAAAAAAATAAAATAATAATTGTACATTTTTTTAATAAAAATAATTCTTTTTTGTTTAAAATGTTCTTCATATATTTATAAATAATTACTATTCAGTTTAAATATAAGTAATTGATATACAATCTATAATGTATAATGTTTGTATGTAAATTTTTAATAATTAAATTTCTTAGTAATTGTGCATTAACTGTTTATGAGAAATAAAAAGCATGAAATATATATTTTAAAACAATTTTAAATAGATTTTAAGTATTTATCCATATAGGAAATACAATATATATAATATATATGTTTCTTAAAAAATAATAATATTATGCGGATTACCATTTTATTCTTGATTGTACGATATGTAGTATATATATTTTATGTATATATTATATATATTTTAATGTTATTTTAACATTAAATGATAATCATAAAATTTTTTATTTTTAGTAATATAATAGTTTTATTTTTAGTAATATAATAGTTTGTTTGCTTATTGTTTAAATAAATTTTTGTATTTGTTAAAAATATATAATAAAAATATATATTCTATATATTACACAAAATCATTGATATCAATCAAAATCGATTCATTATATTCAGGCATTTAATTATCATTGATCAATTATCAATTATCATGATCAAATAATTAATTGTCAAAAAAATCATAACCTATTAATTAAATAAAATATTAGAATTGAACATGCGAAAAAATAATAATTTTAATCATCAATCACGATTAATAATTACGATTAAAATACTTTAATCAAAATTAATAATTTTTAATTTTGATTAAAATTTGCTGTTTTATTTATCTACGCTGTTACTGTTTAATTATTTATTTATGTTTAATTTTATAATTTTTTTATATTTTATTAAATTATCATAAAAGTTATCAAGAGCATAATCTATAGATATTTCGTATAAATATA